TAATCATATGGTAGAAGTGGGCCGTATGGTTTTGACAGGAACAAGTAGGAAAAATCAACAGTTGGAGCTTGCATAAGTGATGAAGCGAGGAAACTAGAAGTCATCGGTCACAGACACAGCGTTGCCGGGGGCGACACAGTGCCCTCTTTCCCGGCTCTGTGTTTGGCTACTCCTGCTTTTTCCTTTTCCTCATTTCAGTGTGTTTAGAATTGGCTTACTCACATCCTGCGCAAGTATATTTTCCAAAAGTACGAGAAATATGACGGCATTGTAGAAATATGGGAGGTTTGGCAGGTTTTTGCTGGTTGACTCTGTTCCCTGTGCAGTAGGCAAAAGTCCGGCTGGATTCACTTTTCTGCAGACTTTTTAAAGCCCTCATATTACACTGTTTTCTGATCTTTGTTATAATGTTTTTTCTCATCAAAAACATACTTTGAATTGTGTTTTGTTTCACCAATCTTGCATATTTAGGCAAATTTCTTCTTACAAACTTCCAAACACCTTTACTAGAATCATTTGGATAATTTTAGACCTGGAATTTCCAATCTTTAATGAACAATAGAAGGTGTTTTGGAGTTTTGGAGATGCAGACAGTTTAATAATCTGAAACAAAACACAACTCCAGGTATTTTTTTGATGCACTAACATTACAACACAGCTTAAAGCGCATACAAAAATACATTTTCTGTCATTTGTAATGTTTTAAACAAAGCTGCAAATCCGAAATGATGTAAGACTATTGTAATTGGGAAAGTTTTGAAGCGTGCCTTTGTTCCAATCAGGTGAACTCATCTCCCAGTTGTCTTTGTGAAGTCATGCACAGCTGTAGCTCGGTGTGTCACTGGGTATTTTGGGTGACCTCAGGGTGACTGTACCGTATGCAGATCGCGATGGGCGCACACATGTGTCATTTTTACGGGCGGAGGAAGTGAGGGCACGTCTCTCCCTCTCTGCATGTGTGTGTGCTTTTGTGCGCCCTCTCGACCCGCCGCCCGTGGGTCCGTGTGACAGCTGTCGTCACCGTCACCGGCCCTTCCCTGTCTCCATGGCAACGGCGAGCAGAGAGCCGCCAGACCGTGAGGTGACAATGACATTAACGACCACTGATAGCGCGTCTGTTTGGCCTTGGGTATTAGAAAGGTGTAATTGCGTTGACGTAATGGGAACGTAGCGTAATGGCTCTTAAAGCGGCTCTTATCTAGAATTTATGGCCTACCAGTAACAAATTACTCTCTTAAGCTCTCATTTTAAAACAGTTACGCTCCAAATATGATTAAAGGTGCACTGGGTAACATTTCTGGTGGAAAGTACGCCACATTTTTTCTTCAGGGAGATGTTACGCTTTGCTTCTTCAGCCTTTGTTTCATTTTATTGTTCAGAAATACCTTGTAAAACCATGCATTCTTGTGTTAACGGACTCGCCTCTCCACTGAACTGATCTGTACCTTGTCCTACTTGGCTCCATGGACATAGAGAAGCTTAATGCCTTACTGTGCAACATTCCAGGCCTCCCAAGAAAAGTTGCACAGTGCAGCTTAAACTAATTGCCTTGTATTTTTTTGTATTTCTGAAAGAAGACAGCATTCATTTTTTTTTATCTAATGAGTTGGACTTTGCAAAAAATAGACAAAAAACGAGAAAAAAAAAATAAAAAATTCACAGTCCCTTTACAATGCAGCGATGTTTTCTCTCAGTATATCAAAGGACATATGTATTTTTAGCTTCCTTTTCAATCGCGGTGCACACAAACAATCGCACTTTCTCCCACTGCCTCCACTGGAATGTCCTGTCTTCTCTTTCTAACAACTCTCCAACAATGTTCTCACAACCAAAAAGGAAATAACTGTTGTCTGACGTGATGCTTTTTCCTGTTGTTTTAAAAATTCCCTGGAACATTCAACTTCCTCACAAACTATTGACCACGGGCACTATTTTTATTATCTCGCGTTTCCAGTTAATCCAAAGGTGCATTGTGCAACTTCTGAAGGTGGAGGGTCCGTCAAATGCTTTTAGATGTTTGGATGTTGTTGCTTTGACTGGATTGTTTCAACTTTCTATCTCCATGGAAGCCAAACTAGATCAAGTTGGAGGTCAGATCTGCGGAGAGGCGACGCAGCTCACTGTTGGAATACCTGTTTTCAAGGCATTTTTGAGCAGTAAACCCAAATATTACTGCATAAACGTCAAAGTAGAGCTGTTTAAAGTCATGCTGTGGGACATTCTAGGCAGCTCAACGACATCTCCACTGAAACAAGAACGTGACGGACCCTCAAGCGAAAAGTTACAGAGTGCAGCTTTAAGAACAAGGCGCAAGGAAGTCTTCAAAGAGCTCCTTTTTGTCTGTTTTATCAATTACCATGCAAAGAACTGCCTCCGGCCTCACTGAACGAGGCTCTGGTGGCACACAAAGTACACGTCGCAAATTTATTTTTAGTTTCGGCACAATGGAAGTCAAAAGGTTAGATGTTGGCTCGCGCAACTCTCTCCCGTTTCATGTTATCGGATTGGTCTTTAGTTATCTAACCATCTCCTCTTTCACCCCATTTCTACCCCCACAAGGAACACTGATGTCACTCCTCGCCGGTTGCCATTAATAGCGAACAACACAAGAGCTGGGTTTCTTAAAGGGAAAGCAGCGTGTTCCAAAAACTCCAATTAAAGCCGCAATGTGAAACTTTACTGGCGGAGAATACACCTTCTACTTTTCACCGTGGTGATCTCACTGCTCGCCGGGTTGCCATTAATAGTGAACAACACAAGAGCTGGATTGCTTAAAGGGAAAGCACCGTGTTCAGAAACCTGGGATTGCACTTTCTAATTAAAGCTGTAATAAGTAACTTTTCTAGCAGATACACCGTACTTTTCGCCATGGAGATGTTATTACGTATCGCATTAAATTTGTGACTCCGTGAAGACAAACTAGTGGTTACAGATTCGATTTAGGCCAAGGTAAATAATGCACAATTGCACTTGAATAAACAGGAGTTAGACAAGTTTAAAGCCAAACTGTGGAACATTCTAGGCAAAGGAATAACATCACCATGGCGACAAAAACATGGTTACAGGTCAAGTGTGTTTAGAGGCAATTTTCGAGATAAATACTAAACAGCGGCACTTGAATAAACAAGTTAAGCTGGATGAGTTTAATCCCAAATTGTGGAACATTCCAGGCAAAGCAATAACGTCACCATGGAAACAGACAAATAGGGGGTTACAGATAAGATCTGTGCGTAAATAATAAACATCTGCGCTTGACTAAACGTTGATAAGTTTAGTTGGATACCAGGCGACGCAATAACATCACGTGGAGGAAAACAGGTAGCAGATTTTCCTCCAGAAAAAGCCTGCAGTGCGTCTTTTAAGTGTTTCCGATTGAGCCTGTGCGTGACCTGCTTTTGCAACCTCAACCTGTCACCTCCGTTCGCACATACGCGGCGTGTACATTTATTGTACGTTGGCCAACTGTTGCTACATGAGCGTCGCAGCTGGGTGTGTGTTACAACTGAAGGCAAAGTTCTGGCTGCCCTGTGCTACTTTAGAGCGCTGATGTCATGTCTCACTCTCACTCGCTCTACACTGGTGCGTTCCAGATTGGGTCAGGCAGGGCTCCACCAAGATTAGGGCCCTGTAATCGCCTCCCTCGCTCTCTCTCTTTGGGTTTCCGTGAGGCATTCCGCTAAATTTCACTTCTACTTAGGTTGGAAGTGGGGCTTAGTATAGCCTGCCCCCTCCTCCTCCTCCTGACGATCGCCCCCCCTCCTTTTTGTTATATAACCGCTGTAAATCACCGCTGATAGTTTGCAGGGGGTGTTCTACGTGGATTTCTATAGTGGAATGTTCAGCCGTGAGCGCGGTGACACAATGCACGCGTTAGCAAACAGACAAAACGGTTTTAAGACACAAAAAAAACAACGCAAAATGGATTCAAAGTGCACATTTTTAGGAGCTTGTGATTGATGCTTGTTTAAGTGTTTGATTTTCGATAAAAACGTGAGCGTGACTGACTGGAAAACTGGCCCAAATCCCCACAAATCATCTCATCTATTGTATTTCCAACAAAGTCAGCTCTTTCTGGTCAGATTGCGTTAAAATCAAGCTCAGATAAGTCTAACTTGAGCAACTTCAGACTCTCGGGGAGCTTGAATGATTGCAACGTAAAGCTGCAAAGTGTCAATAATCGTGAATCTGAAACTGCAAAAGAGCTGATTTGAAACAGAGCTAACATTTGCGTTCTTTTGTGCGGGTGTGAATTGTGAATGGGATGTTCAGTGGGCCTCTGTAGCAGCACCTGTGGCCTCTCTCATTCCCCGGGCCTGACGCAATGCTCCGCTACAGGACATGAGCTCATGCAGGAAACAGAACCGAGCGCTCACACACACATATATGCTGAAAGTGGAGCCGCCTGCCTCTTAAAGGGACAGGCGCGCGCATTCCTGGCCGCCCGGCAGTTCACCCCACTCGCACACAGAGGCGTACTCTTCTGCACTAGAGGGGCCCAGACGCAGTATCCCAGATTCACCTTTGAGACTCAATGCAGCGTCTGTCTGCGGTGCAAATGTTGTTTTTTGAGGTTCTACATTACACAAAATGGACTCTTGTGCGCTTTAAGCCATGTTAGAATGTTGTTACCTCCTCGGAAACATACCCTGTATTATTAGGCTGTCTACATCGCTTAAATTGAAGTGGTAGTTTTCAACTTAACAACTACCTTTTACCTTTTGTTTAGTAGAAATGGGCAGTTCTAGAGCTGAAATCATCCAAATGATTCTAGTGAAGGTGTATAGAGTTTAAAAACACAGTGGAGCTCTTCCATGACACTAAACTAGAACAAAATTGTGCATTAAACACGTGTGAATGAAACAAAACAAAAATCCTGGTATGTTTTTGATGAAGAAACAACATAGATTAAGATTGGGGTTCACTTTGTCTGATCTTTTCACTGTGATGTTTGAGTGCTTTATGTAAACTGACCGACTCTCTCTTGTCTTTTGTTGTTTTAGGAGGATTTGCTGCATTCTCCTCTTGTTTCCCGGGTCTGTGTGAGGGGAAGCCTGCCACTGCTCTGCCCATGAGCCTGTCCCAGCCCTGTCTGCCAGTGGCCAATGTGGGGCCCACTCGCATCCTGCCACACCTGTACCTGGGCTCACAGAAGGACGTCCTCAACAAGGTGACTGAACGCATCCTTTGAACCATACATCACTGTCAGATTATCAGATCATCTATTCTGTGCCCGGGAAACAAAACATGACACCACCTCTTTATAAATCTCTCTTCTACAGGATCTTATGGCTCAGAATGGTATCACCTACGTACTGAATGCTAGTAACACCTGCCCCAAGCCAGACTTCATCAGCGAGAGCCATTTTATGCGCATCCCAGTCAATGATAACTACTGTGAGAAACTACTTCCCTGGCTGGAGAAGACCAATGAATTCATCGGTAAGTTTACACCAGACAAATTTTGAAGAATGCAAGGTCATTTAATATGCCACACAAATGTCCACGTGCCACCCGGGGAACAAAGGCAATGGATACACCACATCCGCTGTGTGACCCTGTCTCCGGAAATGTCACGTGCTTAGACTAAAGTGTGATATTCTCCAGAGACTCTGCCCTAAACTTGAATCCCGTCAGGATCTATATGATCTCTGACTTACCTGTCCCTTTTCCCCACAGACAAAGCCAAGGTGTCGAACTGCAGAGTCATTGTGCACTGCCTGGCAGGAATCTCACGTTCAGCGACCATCGCCATTGCATACATCATGAAGACAATGGGCTTGTCATCAGACGATGCCTACAGGTAAACATGCTCCTCCCACTCACCACCAGCTGAGCTAAGATGTCAGGGCTCGTAGAAAGACAAACCTCTCTTAAAGGAAATGCTAGACGACTTTACGATCCTCCCTCCATTCATGAAGAACTAAACATTTGTAGAATCCAAGGCAACAGGCTTTACAATACCATCTAGATAACACAGATTTGACTCACATGAGTTTTCCAACCAATTTACACTGTTTTTTTTTCTTGTCAGGTTTGTGAAGGACAGAAGGCCGTCCATCTCTCCCAACTTTAACTTCCTGGGTCAGCTGCTGGAGTTTGAGAAGGGGCTTCGTCTTCTTCAGGCCCTGACCTCAAACTCCGATGCTGAGAATGCTGAGAGCAGCAGTAAGCAGCACTCGGAGGTTAATGGGGTCGGCACATGTTTGGAAATGAATGGACACAGCAGTTATGACTCATCTGTGGCAGAGCCGCAGATTCCTTCAGAGCCGAAGCTCCCGTCGCCCACGACACTTCAGCAGGGCTTTAATGGCCTGCACCTCTCTGCAGAGAGGATCATGGACACAAACCGCCTCAAACGCTCCTTTTCTCTGGACATTAAATCTGTGTACTCCCCCAGCAGTCCGCACTGTCCCACTTTGGCACCCACACATTGTGAGGACGTCCCTAAGCTGTGCAAACTGGACAGTCCCAGTTCTAACAGCGTCTGCTCCCAGTCTCCCGTCCAGGACAGCCCCAGCTCGTCTGACTCGCCGTTCCCCTCTCCAGGCAGCGGGGGCAGCATTGGGGGGCTGGGTCATGGGAGTCCTGATGGAGTCCATCGATCCAGGCCCCGAAGGAAAGTTCACTCACAGCCACAGCACCCTCCCCAGACCCTCAGCCTGTCCCTGGACAACCACACCGCCTGTGGGGAGGAGAGCCTGAAGGGGTCACTTTTACTGTCCCTGCCCTCTCTGCCCAACGTGGGGTCTGGGGCCATGTGGACCAAACACAGAGACACTGTCCAAGCCACTACTCCAGTCACTCCAGTCACCCCCACCACAGACGCCCCCTGGCACTTTGGGGCAGTTGAGGGGGGAGACATGGACCTGGGAGTGAACGGGACATCAGAGGAGTCAACACTGAGGTTAGGGAGCAGTTCGGCCTATGTGGCGTTCGGGTGCAGTGAAGGAGCCCGGTTACGTGATAAATCCCAAAGGGAGAAGCCCCCTACAGGACAAACGGGGCAGTCACAGAGAGACCACCGGGACATCACGTCTAACGGTGCCAACACCACCGGGTCGGACAAACAGTTCAAACGCCGCAGCTGTCAGATGGAGTTTGAGGATGGCATTTCCGAAACGCGGTCCAGGGAAGAACTGGGCAAAATCGGAAAGCAGTCGAGTTTTTCGGGCAGCATGGAAATCATTGAGGTCTCCTGACAGATAATGGACATGAGCTCGATCGTCCCAGTGGGGCAACAATGGACCTAGAAGGAATGCACAAAGACAAAAAAGAAGGGAAACAGACTTTGATGTGCTCCCTTCATCGTCAGTGTTAAGACTTATGTGACAAAACTGAACTAGCATTTGCACCAGGATTACAGACAGAGCCTACGGGATGGTGCATTGCAGACCTGGGGGAAAAAATGGAGAAACGGGGGTAACAGAAGGTACGGAATCATTAAATGGGTGAAAAAAAGAACTGAAACAGGCCAAGTGTTGTGTTGCATCCCTAATTCACTATATGGAGATTTCCTGTTATGACAGACTGAACCTGCTTGCCTGTGGTCTACTGTAATGTGGGTGTTTAGCTTGTGATCTGAACCCGATCTGTTTTTCCTTTTCAAAGCTTCACCCTGAAAACATTATCGCACGGCTACATCCAACCCCCCCCCGCTGTGAGCTCTGTAACATCCACAATGACAGTCTAAGTGTACCACCACAGCACAAGTCTATCAGCATGGACATCCTCTCTCAACGGTACAGCGTCAAAACAATGAAGGATTTTTTGAGACTGTTGACAGCGGACTACGTTCTCCCTTAAAGCACAGACTTAAACCCCTCGTATCAGTGTTAACCATGAGAAGATTTGAGACGGACCCTCCCATTACCCCCTCTCATTCCACCTATGGTCACCACTGAGCATGCACCAAAAAGGCTGACAACAGACCGACAAATACTATATATATACAATATGAATATATATGGCAATTTTAATGGACTCCTAATAGACTTTTTGTTCAGTTATAGTTTAATTTATTGTATTGGTTCATTCTGGTAATGAGAAATAATATAATGTTTTGTGGATTTTCATTTTCTTTTGTTGAATTATTATTATTATTATTTGCTGTATGGTATTTATGAACACACAGTGATACAAGTACACACATCCAATAAGCAATATGTGCTGTTCCTTCTTCGGGAGAGTGAATTACGGCTTTGAAATGCACTTTTCCGCTTTCTATGACAAAGTCCAATCACTATTAACAAAAGCCAAGTGTGGAAGCTAGAATATAGTCAGTGTTTTGGTGGTAGAATGGCTCCAGTAGTACCATTTTTTTCATGTGAATAAGTATCCCAGCTGGGCTCACGCATTAAATGAAGAGACTGTTCTGATTGTATGCAAAGAAAGTCGGAGTCGCTGTACTGTATACGCGCTCTGAGCTCATTTACTCAATTTTTAAATCACAAGTTGCCATTTTTAAAGCTTGCATAACAACAGGTATATGCAACCAGCGGTGCAGACTGTCGCCACAGAACAGAGCCAGCACCTGTTCGCCATAGATTCAAAGCTTCCACCAAAGCTTCTGACAGGCTCACACTCAAATCTATACAACTGTAAGCACTTCTACATGTACTCGGCCCCACACACGCCCTTCTTTTCATTCTCAGGGGATCTTTCAGTGAGCCAAGCCCAGTGCAGGGTACAGCAGCACAATACATGTCCATAAAGCTCCTTCACTCTCCTCTTCTATTTCGATTCGTATTTGGGCCTGTCACGATAATTACCGCCGCTAAATACTACTACTAGAGGCGTTTTTGGGCATCGATTGGCACGTCGGGGGTGTTCTGTCGTGCGTTTCTATCGGCAGAACGTGCGGCGGTCACCATGGCGACACAACGCGCCAGTTTTGAGATAAGAAAATGGATTTTAAACGACACATTTAGGTGAATCAAATCAGCTTTTTCGCTTCAGATTGTGTCCAAACAAAACTCTGAAACTCAGAGTACAGTCCAAAGTCTTGAGTGTCAGAACTTTAGACGGAGTAGTGCTTCCAGATAGCGTCACACCCCCAGAAAATGCTGACGATTTATTTATCTTGAGTACTTTTTTCTTTGTACAAGTGGGAATTTTTGGGTTTTTTTTCAGCAATATGAGAAGATTTGAGCTGTAGAAGTTTGAATTCGGAACTAAAACTACACAATATTGTACATTTCGGCAGATAATTCTACTTTATGGTTCAGTTTCTATATTATCATCTCTATTTCGCACTTGAAATTATCATGACAGGCCTATCTGTATTCATTTTGATTTCCCAAAGCTTTGATAAAACACTATTGAAAATGAAGCCCAAATGGAAGACTCTCCTGGTGCGAGATTATTTATTTATAACGTGTCATGTGTATTTTCTTGCTTTTAGCCCTGATTAGCTTCTCTGTCTGACCTTTGACCTCCTGCTATTGCAGCTATGATAAAAATCTGATTCCAGTGTTGACTTTTTTGTCTAAATAAATGGCATGAGGCTCAAGCAACCTGTCCTATTTTTTATACATGTTAATGCAGACGCAGACTGTCCCACTTGCTAAAACTGTGGTTATTATTATTATTATTATATTATTATTATTATGACTATTATTATTATTATTATTGTAAATAGCAGCGCATCTAAGAACACTGATGAGTTTGACGAGTTTTTAAAGTAAACCCTGATACCTTTGGCTGCTTGACGCAAAATACCTCAGGTTCTCTTGAAAGGCTTTTCCTTCCCCTGTAAATGTTTTGTGAAAATGAGACAAAATACAGACATGACAAATACAACCACTTCTCTGCTTCTTCTTTGTGTGTGTGTGCGTGTGTGTGTGTGTGTGTGTGTGCGTGCGTTTGTGTGTGGAGTACAAATTACAGACATGACAAATCCAACCACTTCTCTGTTATGGAAGATCATTTGTTCCATCAGATTTTGAGTTTTCAGTGCTAAAAATTTCCTCACTTACCTCACCTTATTCTGAATTTTAGCTGCTGAAATTTTAAGTGTACATTTTCACAGTTTTAAATTCAAACAAAAAAAATTCAGCACATATATTTTCAAGCTCTCAAATTCAACAGAGTGTAAATTAAGAAATAAAAGAGTTGAGGTTTTGATGAGGCCGATTTTGACCAATCAGATCGCTTCACTGCACCATTTCCTGTTCGTTACTTACCCTGCATTTAATTATCTTCCAACTCCCACTTGAACCTCTGATTGTCGTCATGTCCAAATTTGAAGCGTATTATTATGTTTCGCGTGTCGGACTATGTGGATTATGATTATGACTATTCCATCATATGACAGGCTTGTCCAAACTATGGACCGTGGGCCAAATGCGGCCCTCATACAAACTTTTCTTGGCCCTCAGGCTTCCAGGTGAACTGGCCCAAATGACCTTGCATCAATTAAAAATGAACTTTTTACTCCAAGTTTTTTGAAAATCTACCTTAATAAAGCCAATATTTAAAATTTAGTGTGTGGTTTTAAGAATCTTTGCATGAATAAAGACTGATGGCTCATTCTAATGTGTTTAAACATGCACATATTTTAATTATCTATTATTCTATATATTATATTACTGTACTGAGCACCAGTCTATGACCTCGATCAGCCCTCTACTTCGTCTGTGTTGAAATATGTGGCCATTGATGAAAAAAGTTTGGACACCCCTGACTTATGAAAACACTGACACTTTAATTAGTTTTTTCATTTTTGAAATTTGCACCTCATTTTATGTTATGATTTATGTTCTGTTACAATCTTAGGGACAATAATGCCCATTAAATCAAGTATTTGTTCAATATTGGCCTCACCACAACACTGACTATCAAAGTGTCCAAACACAATGAAAACATATTTATATTTATATTTACACATCACTGTGGGCATAACCATCTTGGATTCTGACTTGAAATTCTTTCTCTGCCACCAAGGTCCGTGTCGATCCATCCCAAGAACAGGGAATGTGTCACGTGTGTCGCTAGGCAACTTCCTCGGAAAACCGATTCGGAAGGATAATCGAACACAGGGTTAGTTAGATTGGATCACTTTGGATCGATTGTTTCTGCCTTTGCATCTTGGATCTTTCCTGCAAATTAATTTCACTGTGAATTTTCCACTCTGAATTTTGACTGTTAAAGTTGAGGGCTTGAAAATATTTGTGCTGGATATTGTTTTTTTATATATATTGAATTTTAAACACTTTGAAAACATACACGTAAAATTTCAGCAACTAAAACATGTTTTTTCAGAGTAAAAATTTAAAGTAAGAAGTTCAACAGCATTTAAAATTCAAAATGTGACGAAACAAATTATTTTCCATCTTTGCTTCTTCTTTCTGTGTGTGTATGTGTGTGTGTATGTGTGTGTGTGTGTGTGTACAAAATACAGACATGACAAATACAACTCCCTCTCTGCTTCTTCTTTGTGTGTGTTCCAGTAATGAAAAATTCCAGTGAAAGTGTACAGAGTTTAAAAAAACAGCATTGAGCAATTCATGTATTACCACATGACATCACACGGTGGGACAGAGTGTTTTCTGTCTGAGAGAAGAACCGTGTCTAAATATGTAGGTTTTGTGTGTTAAACGTGTGTGTGTGTGTGTATTAGTGTGTGGGGTCTGAAGGGCATTTGGGGATTTCCACAGAACATGCACACAACATGACGACATCCTGAGTTGTAATATTGATTTAGTGTGAAACAAATACCCTTCCGGCCACATAACAAGCCGTATTGATTTTTCTTTTTTTTTTGCTCAACAGTGAATGGTGTGTTTCCATTCACGGATGAGGCTGTGAATAATTTAACAAATGATCACAAGTCGTCACAAGAACCATCTTTGTACTGTCCAAAATAGAAACTGGGGATTGTATGGGAAAGAGTAAGAATAACTAGACTGTATTATATTTCTGAATCAATTCACCAAAGCACTGACTCTGATAAAGAATGTCATGGTCATGTCCAGGGTCAGTGATAAAAAAGAGCTGCCCTCGCCATAACAGTTAACAATTAAAAATAAATACAGCTTTTGAATGGCAAAGTACTCAAAATGGCGCCTATAAATACTGTAGTAATGCTGCAGTATTGAGTAGTGTACAACAGCTCGCCCTTATGTAACAGATAATACTCCCTATAATACTCCCTACAAGTATACAACAACTCACCCTTATGTAACAGATAATACTCCCTATAATACTCCCTACAAGTATACAACAACCCACCCTTATGTTACATATAATACTCCCTATAATACTCCCTACAAGTAAACAACAACTCACCCTTATGTAACAGATAATACTCCCTATAATACTCCCTACAAGTATACAACAACTCACCCTTATGTTACATATAATACTCCCTACAAGTATACAACAACTCACCCTTATGTAACAGATAATACTCCCTACAACTGTACAACAACTCACCCTTATGTAAGAGATAATACTCCCTACAACTGTATGACAACTCACCCTTATGTAACAGACCCTACAAGTGTACAAGTCACCATATAATACTCCCTACAACTGTACAACTCACTTTAAATGACAGATAATACTCCCTACAACTACAACAATTCACCCTTACGTATGAGATAATACTCCCTCCAACTGTTCAACTCATTTTATGTAACAGATAATACTCCCTACATCTGTGCAACAACTCACCCTTATGTAACAGATGATGCTCCCTATAATACTCCCTACAAGTGTACAACAACTCACCATTATGTAACAGATAATACTCCCTACAACTGTTCAACTCACTTTATATAACAGATAATATTCTCTAATCTACAACAATTCACCCTTATGTAACAGATAATACTCCCTACAACTATACAATAACTCACCCTTTTCTTCTGTAAATCATATTCGACGCATATTTTTTATAACTTTATTTCTTTATTCTACTTTATTTTTACTTCTGTATTTACATTTATTTAATTATGCTCTTGCTATTTTTGATACTTATTTTGAATTTATTATTACCATTTATATATTTTTTCTTTTTATTATTATATTATATTGCGATGTGTGAGCTTCTGTGTCCAAATCACTTCCGTTGTGGATCAGTAAAGTCTAAGTTATTGTAAAATGAGACGTCTATCTCATTGTATAGGAGCTTTACATTCACCTGCCCACACCTCTGCGCTCTCTCTCTCTCTCTGTCTGGATGTGTTTCCTCGGGCCACTGTTTCCACATCCACCTGCACAATGGGCTAATCCTGCAACTAGTTAATCCTGACCAGCATCCTGCCACGGAATCTGGAGCTGGATCAAATACAGACGAAACATTTCCGAGAACAATGCAGCGTACCGATACAAAACAGCCCCGCCAAGTGACGTTTGAGTTTAGTGTGTCATCTCCAGTTTGGCTCATTGTCTGGTACTATCCCTGGACTTCCTCTTCACACTCCCGACATACACCAGTGGAATTCATGACTTCACCGCCCTCTTTCCCCCACAGCCTTTTCCTTATCTGTCCCCATGGCCGAGCTCCGCGTATGAGGCCGTGCGGGGCGTGGTTTGGGTTATGATGTGATGTTTGCACAGCGGTAAAGAAGAAGATGACGTACCGGCCGTAAAGCCTGACAGGCGAGAATATGAGCAAACAGTATTGTCACTACAAAGAAGAGGCGGGGCTGTAAAAATACAGGGTGTCCCAAAAAATATGACATCATTTCACAGGCCTTTTTTATTATTGTTATTTTGGCAATTCTTATTGAAATAACCTCAAATTTTAACAGAATGTGTAGAAACAGATCAAGATACATTTTTGTTCTCTTTGAGCCAAGTCATTATGTAACAGATAATACTCCCTACAACTGTGCGACAACTCACCCTTATGTGACAGATAATACTCCCTACAACTGTGCGACAACTCACCCTTATGTAACAGATAATACTCCCTACAACTGTACAGCTCACTATATGTAACAGATAATGTTCCCTACAACTGTACACCAACTCACCCTTATGTATCAGATAATACTCCCTACAACTGTACAACAACTCACCTTTATGAAACAGATAATACTCCCTACAACTGCACAACAACTCACCCTTATGTGACAGATAATACTCCCAACAACTACAACAACTCACCTTTATGGAACAGATAATACTCCCTACAACTGTGCGACAATTCACCCTTATGTGACAGATAATACTCCCTACAACTGTACACCAACTCACCCTTATGTATCAGATAATACTCCCTACAACTGTACAACAACTCACCTTTATGAAACAGATAATACTCCCTACAACTGCACAACAACTCACCCTTATGTGACAGATAATACTCCCAACAACTACAACAACTCACCTTTATGGAACAGATAATACTCCCTACAACTGTGCGACAATTCACCCTTATGTGACAGATAATACTCCCTACAACTGTACAACAACTCACCCTTATGTAACAGATAATACTCCCTACAACTGTACAACTCACTATATGTAACAGATAATGTTCCCTACAACTGTACACCAACTCACCCTTATGTATCAGATAATACTCCCTACAACTGTACAACAACTCACCTTTATGTGACAGATAATACTCCCTACAACTACAACAACTCACCTTTATGAAACAGATAATACTCCCTACAACTGCACAACAACTCACCCTTATGTGACAGATAATACTCCCTACAACTACAACAACTCACCTTTATGGAACAGATAATACTCCCTACAACTGTGCGACAATTCACCCTTATGTGACAGCTAATACTCCCTACAATTGTACACCAAGTTACTTTATGTGACAGATAATACTCCCTACAATTGTACA